CTTCAGCCCCCCAAGACAACCCTGCTCTGGGGTAAGCATGGGGCAAGGAGGGCCAGGGGGTGCCAGGCTGAGGGAACTCCTGCATATGTATAGGAAACCCCAGAACACAGCAGGAGGAGATGGTCCTGCCCAGCACAAGATCTTTGGCACCTCAAGGACATCCTCTGTCTGGTCCGAGGTAAGGATGGTGACCTTGACCTTCTGGCCATTGGAGAGCAGCACTTCCAGCACCACCTCCTCTGTGGGTATCTGCTGCGTCTCCTGGAGAGAGAAATAGGATTGGCACCCCAGCCCCTCCACCACCGACCACCCTCAGGCCACTCAGACTGCCCTGCAGTCCGAGGGCCCCAGCACGCACTGGCCGGCGCTGGCAGTCTGCACTCACCCCCACACAGGCTGCCCCAGCAGCCCACCACATCCAGCGGCTCCTGCCCCCTCACCTGCTGGGCCTTGCGCAGGAAGCTGTTGAAGGTCTCGCTGCCTCCCAGCGTCGGGTCCTGCCGCACTGGACGTGGAAGATGAGCACAGAGTCAGGGGTTATGTGGGAAGGGGCAGGGACCCACGCCAACACCAGTCCACTCTGCGGCCCCTCGGAGTTTGCACCCAGACTAAGCGTGCACTGCACGTAGGGCATGCACACGGGCAGCCGTGGACTCCCCGTACGTGGAGGCACCAGCAGGTCTCCACCTCTGCCAACGCAGGGAAGGGGAAGGGGCTTGGATGGAGGAGCCAGCAGCATGGGGCAGACCCAGCTTACCAGCCTGCATGTATTTCTCCAGCTGTTCCCGTCGTTGCTCTACCTCTGCCGGGGTGAGTGTGAAGATCTTCTTTGGGGGAAAGGCTGGGACCACATTAGCGCCATATTCTTTCCTTAACTGGGAAGAGAGCAGAGTGCTGAGAGAGCCTCCAGGAAGATAGTGGCTGCTCTGACCCCCCACCCCAGCTGGTCTCCAGGGCCCTGGCAAGGGGAGCGAAGAGTTCACCAGTGTTCCTCATCCAAATGGGCAGCCAGCAGTTTGCTGGGACATCACAGAGCAGGAGAGGAGCCCTGCACCTGATGCCAAGGAACAGAAAACGACACCCTGGCCGGCCCCACGGGCAGCAATGGGCAGCGCACACCTGCCTGCAGCCAGTGCAGCGCCAGACGCCCTGGCTCTCCAGCAGTGCGCGGTGCCTTCCTGCAGCACCTGATGGCAGCCCGCAGGACCCACCGCCCTGCCCGCCAGGAGCACAGCAGGCACCGCAGCACTGCCCTGTGGGAGGGGGGCTGGTCGGCAGCAGCTCCCACCACCGCTGGGGATGGCTCCCTACCTGCTCGTGCAGCCCCAGGAGCTGGCTGTAACGCACTCGGCAGTGCAACACCCCGTTCACATGGATGTTGTAGGCCTGCAGGGAGAGATGCCAGTCAGATCCCAACTCCTGCCGGATGGAGGGACCCCGGGGTCTGCCCAGCTCAGGGCACATCGGCCACCCCAGGGAGAAGCCCCTGCAGGGCCAAGCCCCGCTGCAGCCCAGGAAGAGGCCATGCTCCTGAGGACCCTGCCGAGGGGCAGATGGGGCACCCCCAGCCCTCCCCTCCTGTCAGCAGAGCTCAGCCCCTGCCCCAGAAAGCGCCAGGACCCACCTGGCACCCTTGAATGTCCCGTGCTGGGCTGGGCACCGCTGCGGGAGCCGGGTTTGCCTTGCAGGCACTGGCTCCAGCCCAGAGGCACCGATCCCGGCAGCATGCCGCCTGCTGCCTGGACCCCCTCCAGGCGCTGCCCCAGAGCACACAGCTCTGCAGCACTTCCCTTGCAGGGCTGGGGCCCCCTCCAGCTCTCGGGGCCAGCACCCCCAGCAGCCTGGAGAGGGGCAGGGCCCTCGCGCCCTGAGGCTGCCCATGGAGGCCAATGCATGCAACGAGCAGCCCCACACAGGCACAGCCACGGCCCCCAGCATGGCCAGGACCAGGAGGGGCTGTTGTCAGCAGTCAAGGGCTATGCGTTAGCAAGTGAGGACAGACCAAACACCCAGGACTCACACAGGTAAGTACAATAACAGCACTGAAAGGTTTCTGTGTGCTGCTCTTCTGAAGACGCATCGGCGTCGGTACAGACCTGCAGCCCAGTGGTTGTGGTCAAAACTGCTCAGGAAATACAAGCACATCCAAGGGATGTGTCTGATGGACACCAGGAAGGCACCCTGCAGGTGCTCAGCCACAGGGAGTGTACAGAGCCACGCTGCAGCCCCGTGGACACAGGTGTCCCCAAATCAGTGTGTAAGGACACCCCTCCCCGCAGCAAGAAGAGGCAGCCAGCGGCTGCTCTCCATTCTGCAGGCCCCACGACACATGCGGTGGCCAACACAGCGACCTGGGCTGTGCTCAGGCCAGTGGAGCAGGAGCCTGGCGTCCAGCCGCGGTGAGCTGCGTGGCCAGGACATCCCCACCGCCAAAGGCTGCGGACCTGGGCTCGCTCCACTGCCTCCTGGGGTGCACGACCATGGCCAGCCCTTGCCACAGAGAAGGGGACTCCCTTCTTGTGCCCGCCTTGGGGCCACCACAACATACCCCAGCACTACTGGGGCACTGGTTGCCCAGCAGGACATGCCCCTACCCCATGCCCCCCAGGCTGGAACCCCTCTGGGACAGTTTTACCCCAGCAGGCACCAGCCCAGCTGGGGTTCGCCTGCCCCACAGCTCGGGGGGTACCCTACAGAGACAGGGAGGCAACTGCTCCCGCTGCAGGGGATCCCGCGGTTATGGAAATCACGTGTGCAAGTGCTAAGTTTTTACTAGGTTTTTCTACAACACCACGGAGCTGGTCCCTGGCTGCTGGCCCGGGTGCCCCCTCTGCCCTGCACCCCCACCCTGGCTCGGCTCCCCACTGACGCCACAGGCAGAGCACGGCTACGGCTGCACAGTGCACAGGGCCCAGCAACTCCACGCCCCAACTCCAGGCACCTCGCCGCAGGCAGTGTCCTCCCAGGTGACAGCACCCTGCCCTCTGTGCTGGAGAAGGTCCTGCCATCCTCAGAATGGTGTTTGGGAGGGCAGGAGGACCGCGCCGTGGGGGCTGGAGACACACCTCCGACCGGCAGTCGCAGCCCAGGCAAGTACCTCCCATGGCTGCTCTGCTCACTGGAAGCCCCAGGCGTCCTCCTGTGCCTGAAAGCTGGGGCTGCTCAGGGTCGGCGAGGCACCCGCCCAGGCCACACTGGATCTCACACTGGCTTCTCGCACCATCTTCCAACCCAAAGGCAACAGCCCTGTTGCTCAGGGTCCCTGGGAAGGGCCCAGGAGACCACCACGGATGCTGGGAGGCCCAGGCAGCGCTCACGCCTGCCTGGCATCAGCACGGGGGCCCACGCTGGCAGGGCTCTCTGCAGGGTCACCGGCTCCCGCCCAGACCCGGGGCTGCAAACGAGCTCGCCTCTGACACTGGGGACGAGGTCTTCCCCTGCCCAAGGAGCCATCACGGCACCCGAGGGCAAAGTGCAGGGGGAGGCACAGGGCTGAACACACCTCAGGCGCTTGCTCCTCTGGCCCTTGTGCAACCGCAGCTGCCTGTGGATCACCGGGTCCCTTTGCAGTCCTTCCCGCAGCTCACAACTGCCATCCATGCCCCTGACACACTGCCTCGTGCTTCCCAGAGGACCAGCCCCCGCGCAGCGAGACCCTGCTCTGCGGGCAGCGCTGCCACCGCCGGGGAGGGGGCTCCCAGTACGCAGGGTCAGCGCCCCGCACCCCCCGCGCCGGCGCCCCCCCGGGCCCCCGGGGGCCCCGCTCCCGGAGCAGCTGCCAAGCCGGAGGGCGTTCACGGCGCGACGAGCAAAACAGGAAGC